ACACAGAACGGGGCGGCCTTGGTAGACGCAAAGGACCCAATTCATTAAGTCGGCGTCGTCTTGCCTAGCAGAAGAGCGTCATCGTCTTCTCACATGATCTCGCAATCACAGTACTTGGCCGGCGGCGGGACATTGCGACTCGTCGGTCCTTTCTTGACTACGACGTTGGCGTCCTCGTGCATGAGTTCGACCGCCGGCGCAAAGTCCATCGTCGGTGTCAGCGCGAGGTGCCACGTCATGGGCCCGCCCGCCGACAGCTCGAAGCGACACCGCAGCTTCTTGGTCACAATGCGCTTCTTCTCGGCGCATATCCAGAGCGTCGTGAGGTCGTCAATGACCTCTTTCGACGCCTTCTTGGTCAGCTGCCGGCAAAACTCGGGCGACAGCGTCAGCGCCTGGACCGAGATCTTGTCCTTGAGGAGGTCGCGGGTCGCTTGTGTTGCGCGGAGCAGCTTGTCGCAGTAGGCAGGTTTGAGAAGCATCTGGACGCGGATCTGGCTCATGGGCCCGAGGACGCCGTGGTTGGGCCGCACGTGGTAGCGTTTGGGCTGCGACGCCATGACCTGGAACGTGACGCTGTCCCGGGCGCTCGGGTTGCGCACGAGGACCGTCACGGGCGACTCGGGCGCGAGCACAAACGAGAGGCCGTCGACTTGCATGGAACTGGCCTTTGTCGGGTCCAATACGGGTGTGATGATCGTATCGAGCCGCATGGAAGCTCGCTTCTGCACAAAGACGCGGTAGCTCGTGACGTGGTCGGTGTCGACGTTGGCCCAGAGCTGGACGAGCGCGTTTGCGGCGTCGGGTGCGGCTTGCGCCCCGAGGGCACGGCAGTACGACGCCTCGACGCCCACCGACTGCACGGTGAGGTCGTCGCGTAGGTGCCGCGCCGCGTCAAGCGGTGTCACGAGCAGCGCGATGCCGCCGGCCGGCTTGAGCACACCGTGGTTGGGCTTGACCTTGTACGCCGAGCTCGGACGTACCGAGAATGCCACGCAGTCCGTGCTGCTGGGGTTGGTGAGCGTGATCGTGGCGCGGCCGTCCGCAAAGACGAGGCCGTCGCTGGGCGTGACAACGATCGCGTGTACCGCCGTGGCCTCTGCGTTCGTCATCGTGTATGTGTGTGTTGTAGTCAATGAGTGTACTGGGCAAATCCCCGACAATGAGGCCAGCCAGCCACGCCAGTACCCGGATATGGGCATCGTACCGTACGACAGCCTACAGTACATGCACATGTCGCCAGCTTCAAGGACGCCAAGGCGCCTTCTCCGCTGCGGCGACTCTACGGGCGTGGAGGGCGCTGCGCGCGATGGCTCTCGATAGCGCCACACGTGCCAGCAGCCATGCGATCGCACGACAGCAGCGCGAGCGAGGAGGGAGCCGACGTCGCTGCGCGTCGATGGCGCAGGGTGGGACCTTGGTCCGGCGTGTTTTTACGAGCCTTCCTTCTTGATTCCTCGGGGACGATGCACCGAGTGTACCTTGCACGGCGCTTTGGCCACAGCAAACACAGAACGAATGCTGTAACGGTATCGATAGTCCTACTAACTATTACGAAAAGCGTAGCTGGAGAAATGGACAACTTGTGGCCAAATTGCACTTTCTACGACGCGCCAAAAAGGGGTATTCCGCGCGTACTATGGCACCTCGACTAGGAGAGCGGCAGCGCCACGTCCGTCGTTGCGTCCGCGACGACGCCGTCGACATACCGGGCGGCAATCTTTTGGCTACATACAGTCGCCTTGTCCGTGCGGCCCCAAAAATGACTGAGCTCGTCCATGCCTTCCAGCGCACCCTTCTTTGTCACGAGCATGTAAAATGCATCGTCGATCGGTGTCGCTTGGAGGAGAAACTTGTCGGCGACGAGAAGCCGACCGCTCGGGTCCAGCGAGCAGAGGTCGTCGCAGTCATCTCGCTCGAGCACGACGAGGACGGTCGCGGTCGCACCTGGCCGCAATACGCCCTGGTTGGGCCGGACACGGTACCGCGTCGGCCGTGTCGTCTTGACCTTGAAGGCCATGCTCGTCGTTGCACTCGGGTTGGTCACGATGAGTGTCGCCTCGGGTGACGTGCCGGGCGCGAGGCCAAACTCGACAATAGGCTCGGGGGCGCCATTGTCGACCGTGAAGCGGCACGGGAGCTTGTGCCCGTGGATGTGCTTCTTCTCGACAGTCGACCAGAGCGCTCGAAAGTCGTCTTCGACCAGCGTCGCTGGCGCGGTGAGCTTGGTGCGGAGCCATTGCAGCTGGAATTTGTCGGGAATCTCGGCCAAAACATCGGCCGTGAGGTTCAAAAGGTCGTCGCACTCGGCTGGCTGCAGCACGACCGTGACCAGGAGCTTGGATTGCGGCGGCAGGACGCCATGCGTGGGCTTGACCACGTATCGCGCGGGGTGCGTCGTCTTGACTTTGAAGGCGATGTTGTGGTTGTTGCACGTGTTTTTGAGCTTGACGACGACTTGCGGCGCGCTGCCCGGCGCCAAGGCGAACGTGATCGCGTTCGATGGCTTAATGACGAGGCCGTGGGGCGCGCTGCTGCCACTGCCCTCCGTGCTGCTACTGCTGTTGCCCATGCTTACGTAGTCGTGCTCGGCGTCGAAAGCGGCTGTGGCATTGCGACCGACAACCGGTCGGCACCGTGACAGAGAGGCACGGTGCGATTAAGTGCGACTTTCGAGAGAAGTTACATAGCACAAAATAGACAGGACGTACCGCATTTAAACGGGATGCATACGAAAAACAAGTGCATGCGCTAAGGTACGCTTTCGTATGACACGCAAATCCAGCCGGCGTGCTACACACGCAACCTGAAATGCCAACTGCCATCAGACCTGCAACCAGGTCTACGTCTAGATCTGTACCAGTGCGCTCCTTGACGCACTCTGCAAGGCGTTGTGGATCTAGTCGTCGCTTGGAGGGCCTCGGGCGTAGTCCAGCGAGCTAGAATGAACTCAAACGGACGGATACGGCCAGTGTGAGTTTCAATTGCATGCGGGAGGTATCGTTGGCGGCGCGAGTTTGCAGACAAATGCATGATATTCAGCGTATCCACTGGTGCTTCCGCTGCTGCTTGGAGCAGCCCCAGTCAGATCGCGCTGGGTGTTTTTAGCCCATCAGTATAAAACCGCACTTAAACGGGCACCTCATCGTGGAGCGATGGAGCATTTTCATCTTGGCGAGCAACATGGCGGACGAGTACGAGCATTGCAGAGCATGTGGCGGCTGGGGCGTGGGCCTTGTCACGAACGTCGAACGCATCTGCGCCCACTGCGCGCGGTACGATGGCCACGACCGGCGGTGTTCTCATCCGCCTCTAGGGAGCAAAAGACCTTCTTTGATCCTGCCACGTGCAACTTTTGCCAGGATGGCTACATCGACATTTCGCCCAAGGCGGACGGCGGCGTCTTGAAGAAGGCAAGAACGACCTTCTCTTGTGCTTAGCCTATCGCGCTACTTGGCGTAGATTCTCAAGGACGCGCCGAGCACCGACGGCAAGTTCATTGAAGAAGGCTGCCCGACGTTCATCCAGTACGTCGGCCGCCTCGACGATGGCTCGATCTTTGAGACGACGTACGTGATTTCCTCTCGATATCATGGCATGCAGCGGTCGTAGGCGAGACGTGGTCGACGGCAAGAACGCGGGCGGCACCGACGACCCACTCGAGTTTCACCTTGGCCGCGGTACGTGCGCCATCTGGAAGCATTCGATGCATGTATCGGCGTAGGCAAGGTCATTGAAGGCCTCGACATTGCCGTCGCGAGCATGAATCTCGGCGAAATCGCGCGCTTCATCATCCAGCCCGAGTACGGCTACGGCGTACAAGGCCTCGCGCCCAAGGTACACGGTGCTCTACGCATTCCATTATCGACATGTATGACTAGGTCGAGCCCAATGAAGTCCTCGACTACGAAATCGAGCTCGTGAGCTTTGGTGTACGATGCTTTCGCGTCCTCTCGGCGTTCGCTCAAGCCGCCACGTAGAAACCACTCCCCAAGTTTCCATCCCAAGCCGAGCTCGCCGAGTCTCGGAAGCGTCAAAACGAAGAAGACCGCAAGATGCTCGAGGAGAACCCGCCCCCGACTGTCGGTACGTCATCCTACTGCGAAGAGCCCTACCACGTTGCATTAGATGAGCGTCTTACGTCGTCGAACGAGTACAAGGAGCTCGGCAATCAAGCCGTCAAGGCCGGTGACTTCGCCGCGGCCCAAAAGCACTACGACACGGTATCCCCTTTGGCGATGGTGACGGGTCTGAGATTCGAGCTTAGGGATTTGTGCATATTTTTTACGGCAAGGACGAGTGGGAAGTGCTCGTCTCGGCCGACGACAAAGTCCGCATCAACAACCACAAGGTGCCGCTGTACTTGAACCGGTCGCTGTGCAAGATCAAGCTCGGAAAATGGGACGACGCCGAGTGGGACTGCGACAAGGCGATCGAGCTGGCGCCGGAGAACGTCAAGGGCCACTTTCGCCGGGGCCTCGTCTTCACGGGCAAGCTCAACGAAGAGCTCGCCAAGGAAGAGCGCAAGGAGTTTTGGGTCATCGACAAGGCCAACAAGTTTCTCCACGAGGCTGAGAAGAGCCTTGAGAAGGCCATGACGCTGGCTGGCGACAAGCCCGACGGCGGTATGACCAAGGCTACGCTGGAACTCAAGCGGTCCAAGGTACATGGACGCAAACTGTCAAGTTGATACGAAGTTTGTGGTGGTAGATGCAACTGCAGCAGTACATTCGCAACTACCACGAAGCCGAGAAGAAGCTGTACAAGGAGAAGATCATGGACCGCATGGTCGCCGACAACAAGAAGCTCCAGCAAGCCGAGATGCAAAAGGAAATGGAGGAAGAGTTTGCCGACATGCCGTCGCTGGAATAGGGAATCTGCAAGCCGCGATACTAGCGTCCTCCATTCCAAATGCAATCTCAATTTCAAAATTCAATCTCAATCTCAATGGGAAAGCAAGACGTTGAGAAAATTGTCTGTAGCGGCAAGCACCTGGTCGAGACGATTCGTGCTCGCGTCTGCGTAAAAAATGCACACAAAATGCAGCGGTGCACGAACTGCGTAGACCAGCGCGAGGTGCTAATCGAGGGTAGGGTTGTCATGAGGTTAGGGTTCAAACGTGGGGACGTACCGCCAGCTGCACAACGTCGTCATGTGACGCACCGCCGTCATTTAAGCGATGCTGATAGTGTTGCTGAAGCAAAAGCCGTACATGGTCGCGCGAGTGAGGAAATGTGGTGTCGTCGGGGCGCAGGAGTCGGAGGTCGGCGTCGTCCTGTGCACCAAAGTACACATACGAGCTGTGTCGCGACGACGGTTGGAGACGCCCTGCGCAATACCTATGGCGTTCGTCTATCTGAGTTGGCGGCAAAACACTCGACCATATTGAAGTAATGCCCACCCGAGCAACGGCCCCACCAAAGCGTTCTCGAGCGCCAGCGTTGAGCGAGCGAGCCGGTTCACATCGGTGCAGCTGCACCACAGCGAGAGCTTGTCGACGACCTACTGAGCGATAGAAAACCCGTCTTTCGAGCAAAAGCAGAGCGCACCGTGCTCTGAACGACAGCGTTTGGAACAGAGTTTCCGGCCAGCCCAAACCACGCCACGTTCGGCGCGACTCGGACAAGCACAATCTGGCGTTTCTGTGCACCTGCCGTGTACACTGTGTGCTGCACATGCCTGTCCTTGCATTGAAGAGCGAATTGCTTGGCCAAGATAACGCAAAGCACCATCTCGTGGCGGGTCAGTGTTGAGCGCACGTCGCCGCGGTCGCCGACGACAACGCCATTCGAGAGAACATACATATCGCTCGCCCATGTCAAGATGTCGTCCAAGCAAGCAATGTCGCCGGGCGTCGAGAGAGGCAGACCGAGTGCGAGGTCCATGTCTGCACGGTGGGCGACGAGCCAGTCGAGCGATTCGACCACGTGGCTGCGCGCTAGCTCAAACTTGAGGGCGCCAGCGTCCGTCGACATGAGCAAGGTCGGCCCCAGTAGCAAGCAAAGACAGTGCTCTAGCCATAACAATAGGGCGTCGATGCATGCGCGGCGATGGAAGAAGGCGAGAAGCACGCCGCTCGCTGGCAAGTGCCGGTACGTGATGGCGTACGCCGGGCTAGCAACGGATGCGAGCACCAACTTCGAGTCAAGCGTTGCATGGAAGAGGGCACTGACGACGCTGACTGCTGCATTCGGCGGCACAAGGACGTCGCCGTACGCGCGAATAAGAACTGGGATGCCAATGCCGTTCACGACGACGAGGAGCCCGTCTTCGACCACCATGTAGTTTTGCGATCTTCCAACCGACCAATCAGCGCTCGGGATTTGCCCAGATTGCATTTTGTGCGAAAGTTCTAGTCGTAGTACTCTATAACTACGATTGAATCAGCTTTCGGAGCTGCTCGAGGGTCATAAAAGTGAGGATCGTTTGCGGCCCGAGGCGCATGTAGGCGGGCGTCCAGCCTTTGAAGAGACCGCGGACGCCTTCGGCCTTGAGAATCTTGGCGAAGCAGTCGATGGTGCCAGTGTACTCGGCTGTCGCGTGCTGTTGCATGTTCATCAACCGCGTCTTGACCACGTCCATGGGCGCGCACTAGTTATAGCTCTCAGCATTTTAGAAACGACGCAACACAAAGTACCGCGGTTGTTGCGACCAAGCCCGCGGCCATGCTGGACGCAAAGTGGGTGCCAATGTTGTCGTGAAGTCCGATGGTCTCGAGGAAGAAGGTCTTGAAGACGTCGTACGTGGCAATCTGACCGCTCGTCAGTAGCATCGCGCGCATCATGTTGGGCCGCACGCCGCGGAGTAGCGCTTCGCGGCCTTCGTCGCGCGAGATACGAACAAGGCCGTCGACGGCATGGGCGTAGTTACGGCGCTGGGCCTCGGGCAGTCGCCCATCCGCCTGCATGCGCACGTTGACAACATCGGCGGGGTTGCCCACCGCGCCGCCCACCGCGCCGCCAAACATCGAGAGCGCAACGTTCTCCCAGAGCGGGATCGGGTCGCCGCCGTTGCGCTCGATCGCGGCGTCCTTGAGGTACTGGTACACGCCAAAGCGCACGGTCGAGTACGAGCCTTCGCGCATGAGGCCGCCCGAGATGCCTCTATAGAAGCCGCGAAGGCCCTCGGTCTTTGTGATGCTCTTGATCGTGCCAAAGAGCGAGAGGTGCGCGTCCTTGGAGGTCTGGAGCCGCACCTTGAGCAGGTCAAACGGGTGCGTGAAGCAGGCCGCGGTCATGGCCGAGACACCGCCGAGGCAGTAGTAGACAGGCGGCTTCTCGGTTGCCATCGCGCAAGAAGAAGAAGAGTGTGACCGAACGAGGGCGAACGCTTGCGCAACTCGCTACGTCAACGCAACAGGATCCGTGGATGCGCTGGTGATCACCTGGGATCCTAGCCAATCATCGCACGTTCCAAGCCAAACATCAGATTTGATTGGTGCAGAATCGAAGCGACTCGATCCTTGCCGGCGACGATCGCAGGTCGACGTACTAGAGGCCACGTCGACTACCACGGACGCACGCCTTGACAAGGTCTTGCTACTATGCGTTGCATGTGATGTGAACCGGCGAATCGTCGTTCTGCCGCTGGCAACACGGTATGCTAGCCACGGTTGTAACAAAAGGTCAGTTGATTGCTGACACACCTATATATACGACTTTTTATATAAAATCGAAGTTTAAATCGAAGTTGCACTACGCCAATGCGCTGCGATTGGCTGCTTATCGGCAATCATCCGATCGAATCGTTGACACGCGCTGAGGAGGCGTGCGCACCAATCAAAAGCGCCAGCCATATTGCCACTTTGATCATAACCCAAGCGCGCCTACGAGATGCCGTTCAAAGCCCGCTCCAACGACCAGAACAAGGTCATCGTCGTCGGTATCGCCAAGACGCTCGATGACGCTGCGCTCTCGGATATGTTTGGCCTCTACGGCACGGTCGCCGAGGCCAAGGTCGTCAAGAACGACAAGGGTGAGTCGCGCGGCTTTGGCTTTGTCACGTACGCGGGCGCCGCGGCCAAGAACAAGGCCATCAAGCACATGCACCAGTCGACGGTCGACGGCCGCGTGCTCACGGTGCGCGACGTGATTCCCAAGGCGGACCGCGAGCCCGAGGCGGCCAAGTCCGACAAACCGAAAACTGGCGTCTGCTGGGCGTTCCAGAAGGGCCTGTGCGAGAAAGGCGACGCGTGCAAGTACCCGCACGATGTCAAGGACGGCGAGTACGGCTCGTGCTTTGAGTTTGCGCAGCAGGGCAAATGCAAGCGCGGCGACGCGTGCAAGTTTCTCCACGGCCCGAAGGAGAAGGAGACCGACAAGTTTGCGAGCGACGACGAAGACGAAGCTGACGCAGCGGAAAAGCCAGTGGTCGCCAAGGTCGAGGTTGACCCGACCAAGCCCCGCGTCTGCTTTGCCTTCCAGAAGGGCAAGTGCCACCGTGGCAAGTCGTGCATGTTTCTTCACGAAATGCTCACGACCGAGGTCGCCGCGTCGACACCGGTGGAGACCAAGAAGCGCAAGCGCGACGAGACGACGCCACAAGAGGAGCTTGAGATCCTCTTCCAGGCCGAAGACGACGCGCTCCTCAAGTACGAACAAGCCAAGAGCGCGCGCATGGCCAAGGAGGCCGAGATCGCATCGAGCTCGGGCGGTGCCAAGACGACCAAGGATGCTCCCAAGCCCGTCAAGAAGGAAGCCCCGGCGAAGAAGGAAGCAGCGGCAAAGATGGAAGCCCCGGTGAAGAAGGAAGCCCCGGTGACGAAGGATGCACCGGCTAAGAAGGATGCGACCGTCAAGAAGGTCGTCAAGAAGGAGGTGCCCGTGAAGAAGGAGGCGCCCAAGGCCAAGGCGATCGTGACCAAGATGCCGGTGACGGCGCCGATCGACATGGGCGCGGCATTCGACAGCTCGGACGACGAAAAGCCGGCGGCCAAGAAGGCCAAGAAGACGACCGACGGGAAGCCGCGGCTGCTGGCGTCCGACCACCGCAAGCTGCGCCAAGAGAAGAAGAAGGCGGCGCTCGCGCTCCTGAAATCCAAAAAGGAGATTGCCGTCGCGCACGACTAACGATCATGATTAACTAACTAACTAGACACATTCTACACTGCACACTGTCGCTCAAGTCACTCTCTAGACATGGTCGCTGCTCCTGATAACGTTGCCGTTGGACGACGATCGGTAGACCGTGCAGCGTGACTGCCTGCCTGGTCCTCTCGCGTCACGTTGCAAGCATCAACCTCTCGGCGACCGCAGCGTGGGACGCGTGCGCCAGACAGCCCTTGACGGCAAGGGGGCCTTGCTCTTCTCAACACGGGCTTGTGCGCCTTGACCAAGGCCCTGCACGCTACCTAGCTCAGGCCTGCAGTGACCTGCAATGTCTCCAGTCATCACACTCTGAGCTCAGGATGGCTGTGATAGCTGGTCGCTACGCTGGAGGTGATGGGCGCAGGTGGCAGGTGGCCGGCGTCGAGAAGATACAACTTTGCACCGCAATGTCGTCTTCGGATTGGGTGTTCTAAATTCGAACTTCGCTTCCACTTCGCTTCGACTTCGAACCTCGCGATCCGCAAATCGGAATTTGCACCGTCGGAAGCCCATGAGCAACGAGAAGGCGCCGCTATTGCCGTCGCCGGCCGCGCGCAAGATCGCCCACCGCTCCATCTGGCGCAAGCAAGGCCCGATATCGACGACCAAGACGCGCCTCGGCTGGATGGCCAACTTTCTCCTCGGCATCACGGTGCTTGACGTGGTCGTGCTCCTCTCGCAAATGTCGTCGTTGACGCTCACCGCCTTTGCAGCGACGGGCGCACCCGCCTGGCGCTACGAGCAGCTGCCGATTCTAGCGACAGCCGCCAAGGTGCTGCTCATCGTGCTCGGGCTTTTCTCCAAGTGGTTTGTCTACCTTGCCGAGCTCGCGGTCCTCGGGCTGGTCATCGTGCTGGGCACGGACGCCTTTGCGCTCGATGCGCTGCCGCAAGCGACGCTTCTCGCCAACGGCCTGGACCGCGCCAACATTTTCATCATCCTCCCGCTCATGTTTTCGGTCTTTGAAGGTGTGCTCTTGTACCAAGTGCATGCGAAGAAGGTGCGCCAGGAGCGCGAGGCCGCGGCCGTCGTCGTCGACCTCGAGAGCTCGTCGTCGCCTGCCGATGCGACGCCAACTAAAGGTATCTCGTTTGTCAAGATGCTGCTGGTGCTGCGCCCGTACTTTTGGCCGCACGGCTTTGGCCATCGCGTCCGCGCCGTGAGCACGTACTTCCTTCTCGGCGGCTCCAAGCTCCTCAACTTGTACGCGCCAATGTTTATGGCCCAAGCTACCAACGCGCTCGTCGCGAAAGACGTCCGCGGCGCGCTCGTTGGCGTCTCGTGCTACTGCGCCAGCGTCTTCTTCTCCAAGACGCTCGACGAAGTCAAGTCGATCGTGTACCTCAGCGTCAAGCAGACAGCGTACGTGGAGATCTCGACCATGACGTACGAGCATTTGCATTCGCTCTCGCTCGACTGGCATCTGAAAAAGGTACACAATATCAACTTGATACATTCGGACGATGCCAACCCTAGAAACTGGGCGACGTGCTGCGCTCGATGGACCGCGGCGTCGAGTCGGCCAACAGCGTCGTGTCGTACATGTTTCTGTACCTCTTGCCGACGATCCTCGAGAGGTATGTCTTGTCGATGCACGACAATATATGTCTTTATCATTTTGACTAGCGTCGTGGTCATGATCATCTTTGCGACGCACTTTCAGCTTGCGACCATGTCGTACGTCTCGTTTCTAAGCTTGGTGTTCTACGCCTACGTGACGATTGCCATCACGCTCTGGCGCAAGAAGTTTCGACAACAGTCGACCAAGCACGACAACGAGTACCACGACAAGGGTACGCTTGTATCAATCTATCGAGCGGTGACGAAAAAACATATTTTTATGTAGCGACCGACGCGCTCATCAACTACGAGACCATCAAGTACTTTACCAACGAAAAGCACGAGATCGATCTCTACTCGGGCGCGATTCAAAAGTATCAAAGTTTCAGCGTCAGCGTCCAAGCGTCGTTGTCGGTGCTCAACATTAGCCAAACTGGTATCATCCAAGCCACGATTCTCGCCTGCCTCGCGCTCGCGATCCCGCATGTGATTGAGCAGGACGGCCGCGGCGTCGACCTCGGTGCGTTCGTGGCCATCACTGTGTACCTCCAGAACCTCTTTACGCCGCTGTACTTTCTCGGGTCACTCTACAACATGATGATCAACGTACGGGCTTCGGTCCTCACGCCGCCTCGGTTGAAGCCATTTTTATAGGCGATTGTCGATATGCAAAAGCTCAGTGAGCTCCTCAACGTCGACCCGGACATCGTCGACGCGCCGCACGCGCCCAAGCTCCTGCTCGACTATGACGCGCACCGCAACGGCATCTCGGTCGAGTTTCAACATGTCAACTTTGACTACCCGGACGCGCCACTCGGCAGCGGTCTCAAGGACCTCAACTTTGTCATTCCTGCTGGTCTACTCTATCGTGTGCAATGCACATTTAATGCTAGCGATGCGTAGGGACGACCACGGCGCTCGTGGGTGAGACGGGCTCGGGCAAGACGACGATTTCGCGGCTGCTCTTCCGCTTTTACGACACGTCGAGCGGGCGCTTGCTCGTGCATAACCAAGACGTCTCGGCCGTGACGCAGCTGTCGCTACGCAAAGCGATTGGCATTGTACCGCAGGACACGGTCCTCTTCAACGAGACGATTCTGTACAACATCCAGTACGGCAACCTCGAGAGCACGTTTGCCCAGGTACGTTGCGTGTCGCAGTGTGATGCCACATAATGTCGGTAGGTCGAAGAGGCGGCCAAGAAGGCCAAAATCTACGACTTTATCATGGGCATGCCGCAGCAATGGCAGACGCCGGTCGGCGAGCGCGGCCTCAAGCTCTCGGGCGGCGAGAAGCAGCGCGTGGCGATCGCTCGCACGCTGCTCAAGGACCCGCCGTTTGTGATTCTGGACGAAGCGACGTCGGCGCTGGATACGGTCACCGAGACGGAGATTCAGAGCGCGCTCACCAAGCTTCAGACGAACCGCACCATGCTTGTGATCGCCCACCGCTTGTCGACGGTACACCACATTTGACCAATCTGGTACCAGGTGCGAATCGGAGAGACGTAGGTGCGCCACGCTTCCCAGATTGTCGTGCTCGGGAAGGGCTCCGTGCTTGAAATCGGGACGCACGATGAGCTCATGGCGCGCAAGGGCGGCCGGTATGCGCAGATGTGGAATGCGCAGCTTGAGGCGCGCACGGCGCCACTGGAGGACGACGACGACGAGGCTGGTATCGTTTAAGGAATCGCCATCCATAAATCGCTAATCAACGTCCGCTGGTGATGCCATATCGAACATGCGCTCTTCGCAGTGCCAATACAAGTGCGAAGGGAAGGAACAAGTTAGCCCCACGTCTCGACCGCCGTCTCGATCGCACTCGCGAGGTCGGTGTGCGGACCTGGTGTGCGCGTGGTGTTGTCGCTCTCCGAGTCGTCGGACGAGTGCAGCGCCGTGGCCTTGGTGTAGGCTTCGAGCGCCGCTTGGTCCCTCGCCCTGCCCACGAGCTCGGCCGAGAAGCTCGTCGCACGGTGGGCATGCTCGTGCACTGCAGAGACTCAGCCACGGGATGGCAGAGACACGTACCGAGATGCTTGACTTTGGCCCACTGGTCGCCGGCCTGGAGCTGGTGCATGCCGTCCGCTTGCAGCGCCGAGAGAACGTCCAGCATCCCGGGTCGATCCTCGGGCGTTGCCGCCAGACACAACTAGAGTACATTGTATATACTCATGCCTGTCCGAATAGAGGTGTACGTCGACGAGGTGCCTGAGCGGACCGGGAAGCCACGTGGGCAGCGTCGGTCGCAAGCCGTCGTTGGCGACTGCCAACATGATCTACGACCGCATATGGAGTCGCAATCACACGTAGGTACACAGCAGTACGTTGTACGGTGAACTGCCTCGCTGTTCTTCATACGGCGTCCGTCGCGTGAGGAGTTCGCAGAGAATGATACCTACGCGCGGCGTCCGTTGTTTGTTTCAATGTATCGAGTCGTCGACCAAACGCAAAGACGTCCGACTTGGGGCTAAAACGCCCTCCGAGCACCACCTCGGGGGCCGTCCACAGCGGCGTGCCCACCTGCTTTTCGGTTGCTTGGAGTTCCGACATGGACTTGCTCATGCCCAAATCACAAATCTAGACAAAGCGGTTAGGGTTACAGACAAGTATCGAGTTGGACCTTGGCCGAGTACGTGGCGCTAATGAGCACGTTGGTGCTCTTGAGATCGCGGTGCAGAATCGATTTGCTGTGCAAGTAGCAAATGCCGCGCGCCGCGTCGACTGCTATCCTACAGCGTGCATGATAAATGCGTTGGACAATAAGACAATAAGAACCGATGGAACGGGTCACTCCACGACTTGGCAATGCGCTTGTCGTGGATGACAAGGTACAAATCGCCGTGGCCGACGTACTCGAGCACGAAACCAATGTTCTAGTCAACTCGATAGACAATCTGTCCATTTTGAAAAGGTCGAAGTATATACCGAATAGGTGTTCCAGCTGGCGCCGATAAACTGGACCACGTTCGGGTGCCGGAGGTCGCACATGAGAAGAATTTCCGCGGCAAACTCGGCGATGGCAGCGTCCGAGATCTTGTGCCGGTGCATTCGCTTGAGCACGACGTGCGTCCCAAAGTAGTCGGCGAGAATGACTTCGCCAAACCCGCCTTTTCCAATCACGCGCTGCAGCGAAAGGTGCTCGAACGGGATACGATACGGCTAATAGTAGTCTTCGACGATGTATCGCGTTGGGAGGACTACCTGCAGTCGTTCCTGGAGCACCGACTGCGCGTTCAGGTGCTTCTCAACCACAGCTTTTTCTTCAGCCTTGTACTCGTCAAAGACCACGAGCTCGAGCATCTAGGACACTGTGTACACAACGTACCAGGTTTCGACCCATCAAACCTGGTCGAGGGACTCGCGCAGCACTTCGTTTGTCTTTTCCGACGTGTAGTACTGGTGAAAGCTCCTTCGATGCGATTTATCAAGCTCGCGAACAAGGACGAGGCAGATGACACCGCTGGCACAGAGCAACACATATGTCTACAGCTCCATTGCAAACGCGTCCATTTGAAGCTTGAGTGACCTCGCCGTGGGCGTTGATGTCCCAATAAAAGACATTGGTGAGCATGGCCAGTAGAGAGCCAACGTAGACAACGCCGATGTGCACGAGGTCGCAGTGCGTCGCTGCAACCACCGTCTATAGACTCCAATCGGTACATGGAGCATAATGGCGAAGATGTCTACCTGCGCAAGAAAGATAATGATCGCGTCGCTCGCGATTACGAGGTCGTCGTTGCTGTTGAGCGCCAAGGCGAGGGTGGCGTTGAGGCTACGTTGCTCCGGAAAAGTTACAAACACCTGCAAAATAGATAATACGCAGACGACGACCCCAGCGATCTTGGTAGGACTGCCCAGAACCTACAGACCACTGTCGTCTCGCCCGAGAAGAGCTGTTGTACTCTGTCGCGACATAGCTGAGCTTGGCGTCGTAAATGCAGCCAGCTCGCACCATGAGCCCGGCGGCGAGCAGCGTCATGGCCACCGATACTATCCACTAGCAACGATTTCAAACCCTTTGGCGCAGCAGCTCGTGAGTACCTTCCAGTGCCGGACGTACACGACGTACCGGGGATGCTGAAAACGTGGCGATGCGGTCGCGAGCAACGGCACAAGAAGCACGATATAACACCACTGAAAGATCTCGGTCTTGCCGTACTTGACCAAGTAGCTCGAGTGACTAGGGTTCTTGCATGGTCACACATGACAATAAGAACACTGCCCACCTAAAGAGGAGGCTGTCCAGCAGCGCAAGCACGAGGTGGAAGACTAGGACGCAGCTCGAGACGATGCGCGCTGTTCGCACGTAGTAAGCGACGCTCCAGATCTGGTAAATGTGCTCCGTCTCGGCATCCAAAAAGCAGTTGGTATACGCGTGCACAAGGGACGCCAGGGACCGCTGCGTGAGAAGCCGGTCAAACACCTAGTTCAATGTTGCTCGGTGGACAGAAGACGAGGTGTCCAAACCTTCTCGAGACGCTTCGGTTGCTTCCCGTCGACCTCGAGCAGCGCAATGTACTGCGGTGGGATCGAGTGCGCCGCGTACTTGGCGGCCGGGATCACCCGCTCGTGCGTCAACATGTTGTCGACTCTATTTTAGTCCTAGTATTAATATGTTGTTTCATAGTCCTTGCAGCCCCGGTGCTACGGGGGCGACACATGTCTTTTCTGCAGTGGCGTGACTAACTTGCGTCCTCAACCTTGGTTCGTGGGCGGGTTCGAGCCACGGAGCACGGTGTCGTATTGGTCGAGTCAGCGGCGCACTGGTATCAAGTTGATAATCACGATAGGTACACCAATCACGGCATTCTACTACACTCATATGCGCTGCCCGCAGTCAAATCTCGCATGCCGGCCTCGACGAGCTCTACAGCATTCCCAACGCGACAACTGCACGATCCACAGTCTCATTGTAGTCTAGTAACTTGGGGTTAGGTAAGGGTGTAGACTGCAAGGACAGGGTGACGATCACGGTGGCGAGAGTGCAATAGCGTCTGGGTCCACGCGCAACGACGCGATCGAGTCGACTTTGTAGTACCGCTGCTGGTGACGAGGCGCGTCGTGGTCCGTGTGGTATGCGCTGCCGCCGTGCTCGGCAACGTCCAACCCGGAAGCTTCGGCCGCCGCCGAGACGCGGAGCAGGCCCACCGCTTTGAGTCCGCCAAAAAGGACGCTGCAAAAGGCGACGATCCACGCAAAGACTGCGAGGACGTACACGACCTGGGCCGCGAGCTGGTGGCCGCTGTGGCCGTCGCAGCGGTACAAGATGCCGCACGAGTGGCTGTCGTACATCATGCTCATGCCTTTGCGAGAGGCAAAGATGCCGGGAGCGAGGGCGCCGAGGGTGCCGCAGCCCAAATGCACAGGGATCGCGTCGACAACGTCGTCGATCTGCCAGCGCACGAGGAGGCGTGAAAGACTGATGTACACAAAAGACGCAAGGACGCCGAGCGCGACTGCACATTCGGGTTCGATGACCGAGCACGACCCTGTGATGGACACACAGCCGGCAAGAATGCCATTGTTGACCATGCACGGATCCCAGATCTTGGCGCCAAAGCGCTTGTCGATAAGCACGGTGGTGAGGCCGCCGGCGCACGCAGCGAGCGTGAGGTTCACTGCGACTTTGGCCATCACATCTGGCATGTTGCCGCGCAGCGTTAGCGTCGAGACGCAGTTGAAGCCGTACCAGCCAAACCAGAGGATGAGCGTGCCCATGCTCTGATATAGCACCGACTGCTTGGGGAGCTCGTCGTGGCTGCCATTGGCGCGGAAGCGGCCGGTGCGTGGCCCGACAAGAATGCATCCGACAAGCGCAGACGCGCCACCAATCATGTGAATGACCGCGCACCCGGCAAAGTCGATCGCACCGACGCCAAAGAGACGCTCGCCATTCGTGACGCTCGCCCAGCCCGTGGCCGACCATATCCAGTGCGCTGCAATAGGGTAGATGAACGCGCCGACGAGCGACGAGTAGAGCGCGTAGGCTTGCCACGTGATGCGCTCGGCGACGGCGCCAGAGAAGATCGTGACGCACACGGCCGTGATGGCCCACTGGAAGAACCAGTCGCCGTACTGGTGGCCCTCGAAGTGCAGCTCGTCGCTCGTTGCAAAGGCGTCACCTTGGAGGAAGAAGCCGGTTGTGCCAATGAAGGCGTTGCCATCGAGAAACGCAAAGCTGTACCCGACCGCGTAGAACGTCATGCCCGTCATGCAGAGGTCCATCATGTTGCGGAAGAGGATGTGCTTTGTGTTCTTGACGTGGACGCAGCCGACCTCTAAGAGCGCAAAGCCGAGGATCATGAGGAGCACCATGCAGCCGCCAAATAAGAGCCAGAGGCTGTCGACGCTCGAGGCCGACGCAACGTCCGACGCGCAGCTGTCGCCGTCGCACGCGTTGGTAGCGAGCAGCGCGGTGAGCTCGTGCCACGTCATCTCCACGGATGTCCCGTCGATGACGAGCGACACCGTCGAATTGGCTCGGATGCTGCTGACGGTCATCCGAGGCGAAACGTGAAATGGCAACACGTCGCGAAGCGCCAACACTAATTGCGTGAAAACCGCTTTTGTTGTCGTTGATGGCGGTGTCGATGGTGAGATGCGATATAAGATGCGTCACCAGATCCACGCCAGTATCAGTGAATTCGTTTCTAACGGTCACCCATAGGCTGTCGAGGAACAATCATGGGCCGCACCCAACCCTCGTGATACAAATCAATCGCCAACAGGACAGCCTCGCCGAAAAGAACACGACTGCATCCACGAATCTCAATATATTGAATAAGGTCTTAGAGTAGAAGGTCTTAAAGTAGAACTCGCACGTATCTCATGTTGGTAGTACTACTCAACCCACCGCTAGTATGCTCATCACCATGGTCGAGGCCCAGTAGGAAGAGACGCCCACTGCGTGTCATGCTATCGACGGAGTGTTCGTGTTCTTATCGAACAACGAGGGTTTCTTTCGACGATGCGCCACGAGCGACGGCGGAACGTGGCACATCCCACCGTGTCCACTTCCTTCTCCGTCGTGACCTTTAAAGATCTAGCAAACCCCAACTACAACATACACTATTTAAAACCGAGAGAAAGCCCATGGATTAGTGTTAAGTAGAAAAATCGGATGTTTTACGGCGAGCCGCGGTCCCTGCCAATTTGGCTCGTCGACCCCGACGATGCAACTCATGTGCAGCCGCTGGCGCCAGCGCTGACGGCTAAAATGCATCTCAACAACCTCCAGAGCGCGCCCGAGGTCCTCGAGATTGGCTGCCTTCTCGTGCTGTGGGGCCTGCCCGTCGACCTCGTCAACACCATCCTCGACGCCGCCGGCGCCGTCCTCGAGTGCCGAGAAGAGTCGGATGCGACGCTCTACGGGCGCGCGCCGCTCAATCTAGAGTGCTTGCGGCTCGACGTGCCAGCGATGGACTGCGACGGCCTCGAGATCCTGCGCCCCGTCGCGATCATCCTCGAGACTGTCTCGCGCGACCAAGGCTGGGCCTCGGACGCACCGGAGCTCAACAACTCGTACGTGGGCTGCCACAGCTGGATCGAGTACCAAGTGCAGGACGTGCTGGGCCACAACCTAATTCGTACGTCCTGCAGCAACTTTCGGGCGTGCGAGCACTACCGCCGGCACCTCACGTACGTCACAGCGGACGACGTGCTATCGCTCGTCGCGCCCGGTACCTCGATTGCGCTGCGCCTGCGCGCGCAGTACGGCGGCTGGAGCAACCACATTCAGTACGCTCGCATCTCGGTGGTCGCCTCGGTGGCCTTGCGCGAAGATGTCGACGCCCCGGCCATCCTCGCTGCGTTGATGCTCACCCGACTGCCACACGTGCACGCGTCGACTGTCGACGCCTCAGTGTCACCTGTATGTGTACTGATGTAAGCTAGTCAGTCGTCCATAGGTTATCCTATATTTGATCAAGTCCGTCGTCCATTCGTCAATATGCACGCAGGGAGCGGTCCACTTGGCCACAAAACACATACTACTAGTTAGTACCTACTAAGCACTCGACTAGCTCCTTCAAATAGGGCCCTCACAGTTAGCTCTCACATCTTCCATAGATTGCGGGTGGACCCAACGGTCTTTTGCGCCTGGGACTGAGCACTGGGACTGCGATTCTGCGAAGAATGTACGTCCTCCAAACTAAGATTGATGCACAATCCGGATAAAGTGCGATTCACAAGCCAGCATCCGGTCGCAGTTAAATGGGGTATACCATCGTTATCCGGATTGGGAGTAAAACCCGCACGTTAAACCCATATCTTGGGTGTTTCTAGTCTTGCCACAAAGCGTGCTCCTGCAGGCAGAATCCAATGCTGTCGCAGTACCTTCCGCCGCCGGGCGCGTCGCCCATCTTTGACTTTACGCACGTTGACGAGCCGCCCGACGAGGCGCCGGCGGCCGCGCCCACCGACACCATCTGGCTCGTCAATCCGGCCAAGTTGACCGACGTCCAAGAGCTCACGCCGGCCGTCGCCGCCACCATGCCGACGCGCAGCACGACGACACCCAGCGATATCATCGAAGCTGGCGCGCACCTCGTGTCCCGAGGCCTTCCAGTAGCGGTGGTCAATGCGATCCTCGACGCGTCCGGGTCTGTACTTGTGTTTGACGCCGAAACGACGGCCGAGGAGTACGAGTACGCGCCAGCCGATGTCGAGTACCTGCGCCTCACCGTGCCAACCATGGACCACCGGGCGCTCGAGTTTCTGCGCTGCACGGCGCTTGTCATCGAGTGCACGTCGCATGACCAGGGCTGGGCCACGGACGAGCCAGAGCTCAATGGGTCGTACAACGGCTGCTTCAGCTGGGCCGAGTTCCAGGTCTCGGGGCCCGACGGAATGGTGCTGCTGCCGCGTCGCGAAGCTTGCCGCAATTTGCGCGCGTCGGGCAGCTACCGCCACCATATGCAATACGTTACGGACCCGACTGTGCTCCGCTTGCTCTTGACGCCGGGCAACCAAGTCTCGCTGCACCTGCGCGCCGAGTACGGCGGCTGGAGCAACCAAGCAACCTATGGCCGCCTCGCCCTCGTGTACACGGTGGGCCTCAATGAAGACAGCACGTAATTCGCAACAATACTGAATCCACGAGTGATGTATACCGAGCACTCGATGTTGGTTATCTACTGTCAAGGGTATATAAGAGATACCCTTGACAGTAGATATTATATACCCTTGCTACTGTAGCTGCACTTTTTCCAGAGCTCTGGAGGACACGGAGCAACGGCCGCTTCGCCCGTCTCGCGACGTACTATCTCTAGTAGCTACCGTCGTCGAATCGCTTGTAGAAGAGGGGCTCATGCACAACAATGGTCTCGCCGGCGATTTGCGTCGAGGTCCATTTGTGGTCGGCGATCACACTGTGCAGTCACTTTGCTCGTTGGGCTTGAGGGACGCACAGAGGACACACCTCTTCGTCCTCTGTGCGTCCCTCAAGCCCAACGAGCAAAGTACGCACAGAGGACGAAGAGGTGTGTCCTTGACTTGATGGCTTGCATGTGCTCAACAGGATAGACCGACCGACCTTCGTAACATAGGTTGTCGACCAATTAGTTCTGGTGGTCCCCCACTTGGTGTGTAGAGAGCCCTGCCTTACATGTGGCTGAAGGAGAAGTTGGGCTGAGCTGACTAGACAGGGCATGATGTGTACTACTGGCTGAAGAAGTCACTGATTAGAGTAATTGAAGATCGATCGAAGGTGGATATGACAAGAAACTCGATCAATATTATGCACGGCTCCATGCCAATTTCTTATACTAGTATTGCTTTAGAGAAGCGCCCAGGCAACGACAGCGGGAAGCGTCATGGTGGCGAGTGCGATTGCATCCGACGTCGCGGTCGGCTGCGTGGTTGCCACGGCCGAGCTGCTGTTGGACGACAAGGACGTCGGCTCTGTCGTCGACGACTCGATGGTGCTCGCGAGCGATGACGAGCCCGACGTCGTCGGTTCAGTGGTGGTGTTGGCGCTGGAGGACGACCCCGACGTAATGGCGATAGCCGAAGCCGCGAGGGCAAGAAGGACTGTCGATGTGAACTTCATGGTCTTGGTGTTGGGGCGAACAAGATAATTGCAAAGTGAGCGACGTGGAGGAGGTTCATTTGCTTCAGCGCAACAACAGAAACAACAGCACGACTCTTCGCCGTCAAAGAGCTGGCGTACCCACACAGAATGAGGACCGAGTGCAAATATATATGAGTCGTTGGTGCGGGCAAGGCACTGACGTATCGTAGCTCGTACCCAGTAGTCGCTGCGACCTATTTGATGCCTCGTCTCTTGCGCCAGTTCGATTTCATTCGGCTGTGCAACCCTAGCGTCGCAAAGCATTATAGTGCTAGTCCACCCGTCGAGAGCATAATGCTGAAGACACCGAGTGCATCGGTGCATGTCCGACCGTGATTGGTCTTGCGTTTGGACAAAGCTCGAGAAATGGCCAAAAATGGTGGCATTTCGCTGTTTAGTTGCCCACCTCGTGTTCGACTTTGGAATGATCCTTTAAACACTAGATTATCCTCTCGGATTTTATTGCGTCAATAGGTCTCACTCAACACTGTGAACCAGGCGAAAGCTGCTCCGTTTACGTTTAGCTACGGTAGTCTGGACTCCTAAGGAAATCTGTGACTTTGGCCTTCCCGCGACACTGCTGGAGTACGCAGGCTTTGGTCGTCCGCAACACACTGCCAACGACAGCTTTCGACCGCGAGGGCGACGGCCCAGCGGCACTCTGGATGTTCTCTGTAGTTGTCACGTTGGCACGAGGAACTGAAACCACGAGTGACGTAAAAACCAAGCAGTCTCCATGGTCTATCTAGCTGCATTTTCTCAAGGGCCTTTACGTTGGGGGACTAGGAGGACTGTTGGACATGGAGCTACTGGACAGTCTCGCCCCGTACTATCTGTACCGGTAGTAGCCAAAGCGCTTGTAGAAGAGAGGCTCGAGCGCGGCAAAATTCTCGTCGGTGAATTCCGTCGGGATCCATTTGTGGTCGTCGATCACTTGGTGCAGCCACCTCTGCTCGTTGGGCTTGAGCGACGCACAGAAGACGACGATGCGTGTTCTTGCCGCTGTGTTGTACGTGCTTGCGCGGCCCTTGACGGCTTGCATGTGCTCGAGAGGGTCGATCGACCCACCTTCGTAAAAGTAAGGGACAGGCTCGAGCTCAATTGGGCTGAAAAAGGAGCTATGATTGTCCCGACATGCGCTCCTGATTGCCTGGATGCGGGCTTCCGTCTCGCGCGCTGTGGTCGCCGCTTTCTCTTCAAGCAACTGCATCCGGAGCTCCAAGGCCGCCATGCGGTCGGAGCCAACGGCCGCTGCTTCCTCGTCCACGAAGCGACACAAGTCGACGATGGGCTCGAGGGAGTGCCAGTGATCGCAGGCGGGAAACTTGGCGCGCGTTATCATGGAGGGCACGTAGGCCTCGGGATCGGTCGGAGACGGCTCGCGTCCTTTTGGGCAGCGCGCGATGAACGAACAAGCGCGTGCAAGGAACTCGTCGCACGCCGCGGCGACAGTCTTAGTCGGAAACGCATCGAGCCAAGGTCGCCCGGCGGTCGCTACGAGGCTGAGCGCGACCTGGCCTTCGTGCTGCGTGACCACAGGGGGCTGGCGCTTGTCGTCCGCAAAGCCGATGAGTTCGACGAAAGCAGTGAGCGCCTCTGCAGCCTCGGCATCGTTCAGGTCGGCCGCGTCGTTTCGATGCATCTCGATATGGAGGCGTCCTTGGGTTGCTTGGCTTTGCGATGTGTCTTCGCTGCTTGACCGTCACGGACAGACAGAGACAAGGGTCAATAAGAAATGACCCAAGACAGAGACCACTCTTGTGTGGCGTGGACATTGGACGCCGTCTGTCTGACACGTCAACACGATTGAGGGCACGTACCGTGTCCCGTCTCCGCACGCCAAGCTGTACATCACTGTTGCCTTCCACCAACGTTGGTTGTTTTAGCACAGATGTCCTGATATATGCATGGTGCCCAGCGTCTGGGGCTCCACTTTCTTTGAAGCTGTGTTGTTTCAGTCAACCGAATCAGAGAGTGGGCCGTCTCCGGGACTTGAATCCGGATCCAATTGGTGGTAAACCAGTGTCCAAACTGGTCCAAACTGCTAGACTAAAAGAAGGCGACATGAACACCCCTTCTTGACTAAGAGGATCACGTACGCATGGTGGACCGAGGAGTGCAATTGCTGCTGCATGAGCCCGAGCCTGGATCACAGCAGCGAGAGCAACAAGCTTGTCCGGCGATGCGTCATGTCATCACCACTGCACAGTGTTTGCTCGTTCTCGTACATGACAATCTACTCGTAGATTCATGTACTAGTTAACTCTCCCACGCCAGATGCAACCCTCATACCATGGCATGCTGTGAGCGTGGCGACTGCGTAGTTCCAAAGCTTTGGCACTCTTCTCCGACATCGAGCAGCATTCGAGCAGCGCAGCAGCAACAATGTCTCTCACTACCTGAGGAAATATGTAGTTCAACCGTCGCCACTAGCTGTCAACACTTTTGCCTTGGTCTACCCACGCCGCTGCTCGATTGCGCAAGCGTTAGTCCTTCTGAACGCACCTTTCAACCGTGACGGTGACGGACCACAGGATGGTCAAGGTCTCTGGATGTTCTCTCTCATTGCCACGTTGAGGAACCACCGCTGGAAGATCGCGAAAGGTCGCGTATCCGTACGATACCGGATAAACCTGCGAAATATGATATTTTGATGACACGACAGGATTTTGATTTGATATTTCGGCCCATTTCCTCCTTCTTGGTTCGGATGGCGGGCCCGAACGACGTGGACCTCGACGCGCTCCTCGACGGTCGGCCGCTTCGTCGCCAAGCATCATGGGCTCATGCGTCGTCTACCTAGACGCTCTGGAAGACTTCGACGATGATGAGCCCGAAGTTGACGTTGTCCTGAAGGAAGCGCAGGCGCAGGTGGCCGGCGCGCAGGACCGCGAGGTCGAGAACCTCAAGGATGTACGCATCGCTTGCGATAGGACATGCGCTGATGCTCATGACGACGGCAGAGCATGGCCAAGTTCCTCGAGGACGCGCAGAACCCTGAGTTCCAAAGCGTGCTGGAGCAAGCCTTCCGCGAGATGAACGCGGATGCGACGGCAGGCGACGGCGAGTCGGTCGAGTCGCTGCTCAAGAGCTTGAAGATGAAGACGGACGGGCCCGTCGACGTGGACGTTGGCGTTGCCAAGACCCTTCAGGTACATGGCGATTGCTGGCAAAGCGCTCATGCGAATTCTGTAGAGCATGGCCAAGGCCGCCGAGGACATGGAGGGGCTCGACACGAACAAGACGGAAGAGATGGGCGAAGCCATGATGCAGGAAATGATGCGCCAGTTTGAGCAGATGGGCGAGAAGAACGACTTTACGGGCCTCGTCGATGGCATGATGCACCAGCTTCTCTCCAAGGACATTATGTACGACCCGATGAAGCAAATCTGCGCCAAGGTACGCGACGCTTGCATGAAGCCTAATCAACTTATCGATGCATCTAGTACCCGGAATGGCTCGCAGAGAAGGAGTCGATGCTCTCCAAGGAAGACTATGCGCGGTAGGCTCCTCTCATTTGGACCATCGGTCCTCATCGACGTCGATAGCTACGGCAAGCAGTACCAGTACTTTCAACAGATTTTGGCCGTCTACGACACGGAGCCCGACAACTACACGCGTCTCTCGGACCTCATGCAAGAGGTATCCCCTTCTATCCATGGGTATCCTGGCTAATGAATTCCGCTTAGATGCAAGAATGTGGGCAGCCGCCGTCTGAGATTGTCAAGGAGCTTGCCCCCGGTACGACTCGCCTTTGGATCAAATGCAAGAGTGACTATATGATTCTGCAGGTCTTCAATTCGACGACGATGGCATGCCCATCATGCCCAACATGGTACGTCCGTGCGGATGCTGCGTCACACGCCAACGTCATCTCGACTAGGGCCCCGGTATGTTTCCTGGTATGGCCGGCCTCCCTGGCGCACCAAGTACGATATCCTATTGTCTTGCTGCCCAATATGTAGCGCTCATGTGGTCATGCTACATTAGTGCCTGGCCAAGACCAGTGCAGCATCATGTGAGTATTTTTTTTGCAAATGTCGATAAGAATTGCATGATGTTGTTGTCGTGCACCTCATGCTACATGTCTGTCTCGCTTGCGTTCTGCCACGAGCCATCGACGGAGCTCGCATTGATGGCGACAGCACGTTACGAAGCGTCGAGATCCAGGCTAAAGCCGTTGGGTCTTGGCGCTACGGGTCTTTGGCCGTCGAACTGGGCGCGATCGCTGTCCAGACGCTGGCAGCAACCCCGGACGCGACGCCTGTCGCTCCGCCGTAGAGCAGCGCGCTACCCGACCACAAGGCGACACTGCTGGCTTGGAGCGTGGCCGCGACGCCACCGGCAGCATGAATTGTCCCGACGCCCGAGACGACTGTGCCGAAGTACGACATGGCCGTGGGCACTGCCGCCGCAGCGCCCACTGAGAGAAGCAGCGGCGCCGCGAGACCAAGCGCGCCGCCCCCGATGATCCAGACGGTCACGTTCGCCATCATCAAACTTGCACCAGCGAAATTTCGACTTGACTTATTCGGCACTGCTCAACCTTGCCCCTTGAGACTTTATTCCCTTACCTTCCCTGTCGCCACCTCGATATCACTTGGAACTGCGCCAATCACCAGCATTTTCAACCGGTCTCGACCAAAATGATCAAGTGTACCAAGCGCACAACAGCGAAGCTCTTGTTCAAACCCAGGACGTAGGCAGCGACGTCGTCCGATCGTTTCCATGCAGCCGCGGTCGCACTTGCATGTCGCCAACCCAAGCGCTCTTGTACAAAGTCGAGCCGAGGTCGCCAGCAACAAGGGTATATAAGAGATATTATATACCCTTGCCAACAACAAGGAGACGAGGCTGAAGAGGATGAATTGACATTCGCTAGCTACAATAACTGGAGCTACCTCGGGGTTAGGGGCGGGGCGTCGGGATCGTCTTCCACACGGCAGCCACAACGCCGGACGCAAGGCCAGTCGCGCCACCACAGAGCA